TTTCCTTCCATCGAATTTTCTCTCCCATTAATAGTGATAATGTGAAAGGAAAAAGGTGTAGATAAACTTTGGTAAGAAATCTTTTCTCTCAATCGTTATGTTAAAATAGGAAGAATTTTTTGGAACATCCCAAAGAGGTAAGTGAAAAGAAATTTATGGGACAGAGATAGTATATTATCTCTGCTACGGTAGACTTTGCCAACTTCAAAATATGTGAGAAATAAGAAAAGTAAAAGTTCTGATATTGAGGTCTGTGCACAGGAGAGAGAAACAAGTTGAACCACAAATTCATTCTTTAAAAGGAAAGTTACTAAGTTTTTGAGACAAACGAAAAAGAAAAGCTGGCAATGTTGAGTGAGGCGAAGGAAATATAAATTAGGAGAAGATTCCCAACAAAGGAGCAAGCATGTTGTGAAATTTCAAAATATGATGTTATTCTTTCCGAAATATGAGTATTTACTATCATCTTTGACTCATTACTGTCAAAATAGTTACAAAATTAAGCATTGACATGTCATTACTTGCTGCCATTAATGACAGTATTTTTCAATCATGACAATAACAATACCTATTTCGGAAAGAAAGACATGCAAAATAGTCATATTTTGAAATTCCAAAACATATTTACTTCTGAGCAATTTCCCTATAATTTAGTCATCAATTTACAATTATAGTATTAATTATCAATAATAATATTTCTTATTATCTTTATTTTTTTAAAAGAACAAGATGAAATCCAAAATAGTAATGAGATTTTATCTTAAATAAACAATAAAGTATAACAATAACTCTATATGACAATGATTTAACTTGATAGTACAATATGTGTCTCATGAAACTTTTGTCGTTGTACTTTCTTTATAGGTACTGTATCAGTATTTTAAAGTTTGTTACACTGTTTTTTAAAATGTATTTAAAAGTTTGATACACTTTCCTTTTTAGTAAGTTTTCAATTAAAAGTACTGAATTACCTCACTTTTTATATTTTTATCTTCTTTTTCATAAGTTAACACGCTTTCTCTTACTTTTTCTACACTATTCATTACCCCTACTACTTTCCTCCTTAAATGATGTCCCAAAGTAATATGTAGTCATCTTTAAAATACGTAGAGAGTATTCATTCCTGCCAACCGCTAATCACTGCATCTTCTGGCAAATTACTACCTCCGTCCCTCTAAGTTTGGGACAAGAGAAGGTGACACGGTTATTAATAAAAGTGAGTTTATGTGGTTGATATTGAATTGATAAAGTAAAAATAAAGTGAGAATGATTTAGAACCATACAAACTTTACCAAATAAGATATGGGACAATCTTAGTGGGATGGACCGGAATGGTAAAATGGGACAATCATAGCGGGACGGAGGGAGTATATGTTAGCATTTAACAGAACTTATACTAAATATGCAAGACATACAACAACAAAAGTTTCATGAGACCCACTTATAATTATTGTACTATCAAGTTATTTCATTGTCAATTAGAGTTATTGGTTATACTTTACCGTTTACGGAGTATTTTAATTTTACTTAAATATTTTTACGATCCAACCTTTTACTTTATTACAACTACTACTATGTATATAATTAACTAGAAATTAGATCGCGCGTTGCACGAATGCAATATGCCCAATGCTAAAAACTTTTTAGCATTGATTGTAAATGATTTTTTTAGTATATATTGTTATAAAATGTGTTACATGTTCTATATTTTGGTGTAGTTGTGTACGGTAAATAAGTGTAAAAACATTATTGTTTGAAAATCACAAAATAGGGTAGTATGTAATTTAGGTATGAGTGAATGATTATAAGGGTTTGAGTATATGAGACAAAAACTAAAAGCTTTATTATACGAAATAAAGATTGTATTGTTCTATTGCACAAATAAAAGATTAAAATCCTTATATATATGTAATAATATGGATTTATTCTATTTGCCATAATAAAAAGTCGTTTCTCCTTGCAGATGCTTCATTCCCTTTCCCTGTGGATGGATTTAGTTTTTCGTCTTTGTTTGCTGGAGTTGGTGGTGTGTGTATCTATTCTTCGCGAATTCCTGAATGAGAATAAGGGTTATAGTAAAGGCAGATTAATTAAAACACAACATGAAAACTAAAAGGATAAAACAATTATGATCCTGGTAGCTGAAAATCTAACAAGAAATCACATAGGTAGTTTTAATTATGTTTTGAAGCTACTTTAACATAAAATCTAATAGGAAAAAAAGAAATTCATAGGGGAACAAAAAATCACTTTGAGTTCATGTTGAACCCCGGAAAACGGTAGGGGAAGTAAATGAGAAAGAAAAGTGATTGAGAAATTATGAGAAAGAAAATTTCGGGTAAATAAAAGAAATTCCAACTCAACAAATCAATTCAAGATATTTATTCAACCTTGTTTATTTTTTATTTTATTTCTCTTACAGAGTATAATAAAGATAACATAATCAAAAGATATAACTGAAGTTCATTTTACTGCACATTCTCAGGGTGAAACGAAACATTAAAAACAATTATTTTCCCTAGCTAATTTTTCTTATGCTACAAATTGCCTAGATCACAGATCACTTTGAGCCAAGACATGAAAATGGGGGGGGGGGGGATCCAAGCCCAATAAATGAATTGTAGATGTTGGTTCAACCTCACTTGATTCTTTTATTTCTATTACATAGGGTACATAGACAAAGACAACATAATCAAAAGATATGTGATTATTTAAAAAGTTATAATCAATGTTGGTTTTACTTCAGATTTACATTAAAAGCAACTGTTTTCCTTTGCCAATTTTTCTACACCAAAGCATCTCCTAGATGTTGAATATCACAAAAGGGTTCTGGTGGAGCTAATTTGGGATGTATATAAGATCAAATAATGTACTGGGTTGGGATGCCAGATTCCCTTTTTTAGCATTAGGCATTTCCTTTTTCAATCAAAACAGTATTAAGCAAGCTTAATGGCGGGTTGATTTATAGGAAACAGTTTATTTATCAGCAACAAATATATAATCTCACCCTAAACAGGGGTTTTAGCCTATAACATGGTTTTATGAAAATCTGAGTCGATGTTAGACTACTATGGTTGTATTATAATGGTCCAAATGAGTAAAGCATGTCATCTTCAAGCTCCTAACATTGTCTTCATTAACTAAGTGCTCCTTCCTTTCCGGTGTATAAAAAAACAGTTAAGTGCTTCAATTAAGTTAACATAGGCAAAACCGTGAGTGTAGAATATGCCACAAAAGTACTGAAAATCTATAACAACAATATAGAAACAAAATCCGAAAAACAAAACATCACCATTAGAGAGCAAGTTTTGATGCTACCTTTTAAATAGAAATTAGCTATTAATGTGATTTTTATTATAAAACAGCTATTGATTCAAAAACTTCCTAATATCACCACATGTTTTGATCCTAACTTTAAAATACAGAGTATTAGCATGAAAACTAAAAGCACATTTCCTCCTTTAATTTCCAGCAACACTACCTTTTTGTAAGTTCCCATGGTCTTAAATCTTAACCTTTTTTTTTTTTTAAATTCAATCACCATAAAATATCAATTATCATGCTTACTGTCCATATTCCTTGCCCATATTTAATGTCCACAAACCCTCATTTCTTTTAACCCTAATTTCAAAATTAGAAAAAAGAAAAGAATATGAATGGTGGACAGCCGGTTAACAATCCAATTTCTACCAACCATCCTTTTCAGTTTTCACCCACCAAAGCAACATCATCTCTATAACAATTCTTTTTCCCTTTTTGATGATGAAACGTACGGCAACCTCAGCTCTCTTCCTCGGACAACCACGCACATAACTCTTGCGGACTTGTTGAACCATGGCCTGGACAGCGATCATTGCCAGCACCAGCGGCTGGATGCATTTGGCTGATGATCTTGCTCCTGGACGGCGGTTGACAGCAGGCCATGGGGCGGCGGCGGCGTGGGGCGGCCATGGATAATGGAGGCAGGCATATGGATCTAGGGTTCATCTTAACCTATTAATTGTGATTTTTATGTGAAATCCTAATCGCATCCAGGTTCATATAAATGCATCCATGTGAATTCAAGCAATGACTTGCAGGTGCTATAGGTTTACCAGTCATGTATGCATGATGAAACATAAATAGAGAACATGAGAACAAACGCAAGAAAAGAATAAATTGCACCAAATAAACGGCTAAAATTAGAGAAGAATAGCAAACTCACCTGCAAAAACTCTTGACCAGCTGCGTGAAAAGGATGTGAAACCCAATGGAAACTCCATGTATAGACTAAGGGGAGGAAGAGTTTAAAATAATCTGAAACCAAAATTTAATTGAGCAATAACTTCATCCGATGCTCAAACTTCTGGAACGGAGGTTGGAAATCCATATCCCTTTGGCTTCACATATGTATTTCGATGAAAAGAAGAGGCCTATATATTAACCTAACGATTCGTTAAGATTTAACCTGACAGACTACACACCGTCAACTACCTAACGATTCCTTTGATGCATAATAGTTAGCGTACCTCATGAATGGCACAAAGTACATTAGGATAATGCCTAACCTATGATGATTTAACGGACAATAGAGCATTTAATAAGAAATCTGTCCTTTATTAAAATAGGTTAAGATAAAAGTAACAACACACAAACTTCGCCGTATTTTTATTTGATAAAATTACACATTATGTACCATAAAAAAACATACTACCTCCGTCCCATAAAATTCTTCCCACTTTCCCTTTTGTGCCGTCCCAAAAAATTCTTCCCACTTTCCTTTTTTGGACAATTTATGTGGTTCACATTCATTTCACTTTTTTCTTACACAACCACAACCACACATTTCCATTTTCTTAATCTCCGTGTCAAGTCAAAGTGGGAAGAATTTTATGGGACGGAGGGAGTAATTTTAATTAAGTCATTATTCAATTCTAGATATATCTCGTGCATAGCACGGGTACTTTGTCTAGTTTTTATATAAGTTGGGGATATGTGACTCTTTGTTACGGTATGCTTCAAAAAAATCAACGACACTTTGTTACGAGGACTTGCCGGCTTGCCGCCGGTAGATGTCCTAAAACCGGACGCCCAAATATGTGCTTGTCAATCATCGCAAAAAACCCGGTCTAAGCCAGTAAGTCCCAAGTTGTTATGAGTTTGTTTGGTCAAACACATTATGGAGCCAAGAATGGCGGGACAACTCCCAGCAAAATAACTGAATAACGATACTTCTTCAGCTCATCCTTTACGGGGGAACTCAAGGAATCGGGAAATGGATTCTTCTTCAACGTCTAAGCAAGGCCGGAAACCGCCTTCACTGAATCAACTGGACATCTACTCGACCGTCGTTTTCCACGGCACCGACGCCGAAAATGAGCAGACTCGCGACGCCGTCTCTGTGTCGAAGGGCGATGCTTCATTGGAATCCGTGAATGACACGCCGTCCGTTGGCGGCACAATGATAGTGAAGACCAATCGCCGCAGACCTCGGTCCGAGACGATGTCGTTTCTCGATCGAACGGAGAAGATCCGCAAGAGTAGAACTGGTGAAATCGGGGAGGAGGGCGTTGAGGAAGGGGATTTCTCTACATTTGTAATGAGGGACGGCGAGATTGAATCGGGGACCGTGGTGAGGAGAACGAGCGGAAGAGGAACTGGCGAAGAGAGCGGATTGTCTACGATGAGAAGAGCTGTCGCGAGTATGCAATCTATGGAGGAGATTGGGGCTGGGAGGAAGAGGAAAGGTGGTAATGGCGGTGCGTTGGAGGAGGAAATGAAGCAGGTGCATGGGAGTAAGGTGTCTTCCAGCTCCTTTCCAGATAGTGTGGCGAGGGAAGATCCTTCTACGAAGTATGAAATTCTTCACGAACTCGGTAAATTTTACTTCTTGCTTTTCACTTTCCATGTTAATTACTTTGCCTTGATATAAAGTAGTTGATTATATACCTCCTAAAAAATTTGGTGCATAGAGCAAATTCAAAATGCATTAAGCGAGAATTACGGCGATTTAAGATTTGATGCTACTCAGGTTATGAGAAGAATTGAGAGTATATGAAGTTTCTTATGGTGCATCTTTTTCTGCTTCTATCATGTGCTTAGCAACCTATTTTAAAATATGGCTGGAAGTTTTTGTGTAAAAATTAAGTGATTGAAAGGGGGAAGGAACTGGGCATGACAGGAAAGGGTTCATATGGTGCTGTTTACAAAGCTCGAGATCTGAAGACTTCGGAAATGGTTGCCATCAAAGTGATATCATTGTCTGAAGGGGTTTGTTTCCTCAGCAGTCTATGGTTTTCTTAACATATTGAATCTGTTTTTAAGCATACAATTTTTTTTTTTTGTAATTTGAAATGCATTCAGGAGGAAGGCTATGAGGATATCCTAGGTGAAATTGAGATGCTACAGCAGTGCAGTCATCCAAATGTTATTCGCTACTTTGCGAGCTATCAAGGAGACGAATATCTTTGGGTATGACCAAATGAATGGATTATGCGACAACTAATGCTTCAACGGAATCAACGCTTAATAAAAAGAGTTAGTTATGTGTGTAACTAGTGGAACCCATATTATGTCTTTTTTGTTTATTGAAGCTTGTGCTACTTTCTACGATTTAACAGATAGTAATGGAGTATTGTGGGTGTGGAAGTGTTGCTGGTTTAATGAATGTCAATGAGGCACCACTTGAGGAGCACCAAATAGCATATATTTGCAAAGAAACATTAAAGGTAAGTAGGTAATCTTGGCTTGAACGTTAAAGAAGTGCATTAAGTTCTTGGTCTGATGAACAGTCAACAGAGAGGCATTTGACAGGCGAACCACCTGACTGATAGGATATTTGAGGAATTCTTCAAGGGCGTCACATATTAGTTGGATGGTGATGTAACTCGCTTTTTCTGAGTCTGGCTAAACATGGCAATTGTTTTGCTAGAAATGAACAGCCGTCTCTTGGAACAAATAACAAAAGTAAAAATCAATGATAATAATAAATCTTAGAAATGAACGGTCATATCTTGGCTCATCCTAACCCCTATCTCAGTTCAGATGTTCAATTTCTTTCACTCATTTCTCTTTTGAAACTTGATTTTAGAAGAAAAAGGAACACAGAAAGAAGCATAAAATACTTCCACCCATGTAGTGCCTGCAAGAAGCTCGGGGCTATTGGATAACAATGACACGTGAGAGTGTGATGACTGAAGGCTTCTGCCTTTCACTTTTTTAATAACAAATCATTTAGAATCCACTCTTTCATGATTAATTATTTATGACTCTTTATTTATCTGAAGTCTGAACTATCATTACTCTGTCATCTCATGCAGGGCCTTTCCTATTTACACTCCATATTTAAAGTACATCGAGATATCAAAGGGGGTAATATATTGTTAACTGATCAAGGAGAGGTTAAGTTAGGTTAGCATCTCCATTTAGACCATTTACAGTTTCGTGTAACCTCTTTGTATTTTGACACTGCATTCTTGTTCTTTATTTTTTCAGAACTTACAGCTGACCCCTTTTGTTTGAGGTTAAGCCTATATGAGTTCTTGTTGTTTTTGTTTAGAAGCTACATATCATTCCTTAATTTCATTGTTAGGTCATATTCATATCTTATTAGTTTATCTCCCTAAAACATGTGCATCACTATCCTTAATATAATTTCTTACTGAGCCCCAATTTGTAATAATTATCAGTATGAGCAGGTGATTTTGGTGTTGCTGCACAGCTAACTAGAACAATGTCCAAGCGTAACACGGTATTTTTGTCAGCTGCTTAGCTTTATCGCTTCGTTAGGACTTCTTAGATTTGTTTCCTATACTTTGGCAATTGGCATGATATAGCTACTTTCTAATTGGTATAGGACTAGAAATGAGTTTTTTACGGAACTGTGATTATAATATACACTTAGTTACTGAAAGTGACAGTTTCCGTTATGGTGGAGAAGATTTTCATGAGTTATGCATAAAATAGAATTAGCTTTTACAACAAATCTTACTTTGTGGTTTAGGCTCCGTTTATTTCCATGTAAGTCGTTAGGGACAGTATTTAATGCGGAAAATGTACTACAAAATAACTTTTATATGTATACAACCCACTAACAACAAATAGAAACTTGTTCAGAAAAATGACTTCCTCTTTGCAAAAGAGAGATTTTTTCATACCAGCCCAAGAATCATGGAAATCATTTGCCTTTAGTAATACTCTTTCTGTGCCAAACACAGGAAAATTTTGTAAAAAGCCTAAACCTAGCTTTCTTCTCTATGCACAAGTGTTGATATCAACTCTCTCGAGCCGTTATGCTAATTTTGACAGATCTACTGAACAATGAAAATAAAAGGATGGGAGGTGATAGGAGGAGCATATTTTCTTCAGAAGCTATGTTGTGTTACTTGTCTTTTGCATAATTTCATGCAAACAAAAAAGCTTTTCTGTGGACGAGTGCTTGATCAGTTTAAATTCTTAAATGGATATTGTCTCATGTCGTGAAAGCAGTTATATATGATAAAAATTCACTAGTACTAGTATATTTTATGAATTTGGTACGTTGTCATCATCACATTACTTTAATCCTAGCTATGACGGGGTCAGAAGCACAAAGTTTATAGTGCCAATTAAGTTTCCAAAATTAGTTGGCACTACAGTTTCATAGTTGACACTGAATTTTGTATTACATAAGGAAAAACATGATGCTGGCTCACTGGTTGTCATGATGCTCCACCCTAAATTAAATTTATGAGACAGATTCTCTCCTCATATACTTGTGCATAAATTGATATTGGTTCATTCTTTCTCCAAATCTTCAAAAAAAAGTTATGTTCAATTCACAAAGTAGTCTCATGTGGTGGTTACTTTACCATTTTATTTCTTTGTTTGTTGTTATTTAGACTTCTAAAGTAGTAATATTAACACAAATTTGTTGCTTAAAAGTCTTACATTCCCTCATTAATTTTCAGTTTATTGGAACTCCTCACTGGATGGCTCCAGAAGTTATTCAAGAAAGTCGGTATGATGGAAAGGTATAATTGACACTGTAATCTTGTCATGTCTCTTGAGTTCATCCTGGATACTCCTTTTATAGGACTATTACTTGCTGTTTTCCCAAAATGTATCTGTCTATGTCTTTCAGGTAGATGTGTGGGCACTTGGAATATCTGCTATTGAAATGGCAGAGGTATGCTGGTTCCCAAGTCCCTTTTTTCTGTTTATGGATTTGGATTCTCTTTACAATGTAAAAAGTTAATATAGCCATATAGGTGCTACCTTATTGCTAATAAACCACCTCTTTGGATCTTCATTTCAATTAAATAATTTTCTATTGGATTGTACTGTGTCTAAGATCAATGTACATTTAATGAGTTCTTTCTCATTGGCGGTGATCAACCATTCCCTCTTTTCAGGGTCTTCCTCCGAGGGCAACTGTGCATCCTATGAGGGTTAGTCTTTGAAGAATCGATTTTCAATCTTCCAGGGAATATGTCACATGCAGTGTTGCTATTCTACATATGGACTTTAAGATATATACTGCCACTACTAAGATATTTATTAAAAGCCACTACCTGGTAATAAGGTAGAAACAATTCAAGTGAACAAACAAGAACAGGAGATTACCATTTATGTATTTCAATATAATTGAATGCATTATGTTAAAAATACTTAGAGGATTAAATTTTTTAAGAGTATTTCAACTAATTTACGTACACTATATGGACCCTTCCATCTCTAGTATTCCTGAACCCCAAGGAAAGAAATAAGTTTTTATTCGTGAACACTTCTAAAATTCCTAACTTGAGTATAAACCAAATAATATTTGTTGCTTAAAAACTGATGGGAGGTCAAATATTGAATTTCTAGTTCAGATTATGAATAAAATGCTTAATTCTCTTGAATAGGTGCACTCCGGGTTTTGTTGATGGCATTTATTACAATATCTCTTCAATGCCTTACAATATTGAATGTTTGAATAGGTGCTGTTTATGATATCAAGAGAACCAGCTCCAATGCTTGAGGATAAGGAGAAATGGTTTGTTCTTTGCTCTTGAATCTTTGCATATGCGTTTTCCTTTAATTTCAGGGTAGAATGCACAAATGGTACCTTGACTATTGGAATTGATGCTTTTTGGTACCCAGCTGAACAACTACTAAATAAATAAAACTAGTACCCTAAGTACATCCAATTGTCTCGCTAGCTGTACATTCCCCCCCCCCCCCCCAAAAAAAAATTAAGTAAATTAATTCGCAGAGTTAGTGAAGTCATAAAAAAGTAGAGTGCAATCGTGATCTGCTAGTTACTTTCAAAACGTTTGATTTTGATAACATCAATTATGTGAAATATATAACTATTAAAAATGGAGAATGTATACAGTTTTCAGGCTGCAATTTTATAATTTTAGGCAAAATATCACATGGTACCATACGCTGAAACAATTTAATGTGCATACGGTACTGATTTGCTTCACTCAATACTTGGGTAGCAAAATGCATCAATTGCACTAGAGCTATGGTGCCATTTATGTATTAACCTGAAATTTCAATTTCATATAATTGGATGTGCTCCAACAAATTTGGCACTCCTGTGGTGTATAGTTGCAGGTCTCTATAGTACGTAAAATCCTTTATGTAATTTGCTTATAGTTGTTTCTTAGGGAATGCATGTTGGCCTTTTAAGACCACTTATGCTTGAATTCTACCCCCACCCCCATTTGAAGTCATGTTTAAACTCATATAGCTGTCAAAAAATGTTGATGTGGAACATATATATTTAGGTCTCTTTTGTTTCATGACTTCGTCGCAATGTGCCTTACAAAGGATCCTCGTCTCCGTCCAACTGCAGCAGAGTTGCTAAAGGTACTACGTTCTTTATGTGTTACATTATTTATATGGAATGTGATATCTAAAGTAATAGTTTCCAATGAATTTTGTATGCTTTGCACTCTGTTGACCTCTCATCTGGCCTAAAAATGTTTTTCATGATATATCTCATCGAGCCTGAAAATTTTGATAGGCATTGGTGTTTAAGTGCATATGATGAAAAAGTTTAAACTCACAGATTGGCTACATGATTTTCGTGTTTGAGGCAACTTCTCCGTGATATTCTTAATCAGAACTTATACATACTTTCATAATTTTGTACTAAATGGTCTAATGCCAGCTCTTAATTTCTAGTGGCTGTAAATAATAATTATTTGAAAAAACAAAAAGTTATAGGTGCTGTAAGCCTGTAAGACATGCAACTACTTAACTACTTTCCCCACCCAAAAAGATTTTATTGTTATATTGCTTTTGAAGCCTTGATTGATGACTCATTTGTTATATGTTTCAATTTCTTTTTGAAGCACAAATTCATTGAGAAGTGTAAAAGTGGAGCTTCTGGAATGCTGCCCAGGATACAGCAAGCAAAGGAAATTAGATCTTCCATGGCTTTAGAAGCTCAGAAAATTGTATCATCAGCCACTCTACGAGATGTATGCTTATTATTGTTGTTGTTGTTGTTATAATTATTATTAATTTCATCATCATCCAAATGATTCACTATAACCCAACTGCTTTTTCAAGTTATGTTTAGAAAAAATCAAATTTTATTCTTGAAGTGCAGTTAGGAGGTGACCCCAAAGTAAATGAATCATTTGGAGATACAGTGCCTGCTGGTCTGCAAGTCTCTGATGTACTATCATCTGCAATTAATGTGGAGAATCATGATTCAGTACATATAGAAACTGATGAAGAAGGTAACCCTATTAGATTACATCCCATATCACAAAATCTGAACTTTTTCCTTGGCAGGTTAGCTTCACTTCTGATTTACCTCAGTAATGTGATTAACTCAAATAACAATGTGAATAAATAACTAGTTATTGAGCATTGATTAACATTTTATTTCACTGGTTACAAATGGACCCTAAAAGTGAGGCAAATTCTAAACAAACAGGTGACTTTGGGACAATGATAGTTCGAGATGCTAGTAACACAGCTACAACAGCTACTCAGATTGCAGTCCGAGACAAAGAACCGTCCCCTTCTGTAGAACCTACTGGAAATGCCCATGTCCCTGGCCATGAAGAAAAAACAATTGACCCTAGGTATTCTCTCCCCTATCTTTTGATAACCCTTCAGGAAAAAAGGACTAGGAAAACACTAATTGCCACTTGTCAGAAAAGTCATGCAGATGGAATGTTCTCAACTTTTTCAAAGTTTGGAGTTCAACAACTGCCATTACACAAACGGATCATATTTACACTATGCTATCAACTCCGGGGGGGGGAAACTACGGGTAGGCGAATAGTCTGAAGGTTTGCGTGTGGACTATGGAGTCACATGATTAATGACTTAAATGAGAATGAGATTCCTCAATTGATCACTGTATGGTTGTTTCCAGTATGTTGCTCCTTTTGTTGAAACATAAATGTATCTTACCATGAAGGGTAAGATACATGTCATATGCCTAGACGTGTTACGTGTATGTGTGACTTTCTTAAGGATTATATGGTAGGTAGAGATTCCTATGATGCCACTTATTTTTCAACATCATCCTAGAAGAGTTTTTGGTTAGAAGGGACTATCTTTAGCTACTTTTTTACAGAATCATCTTTAAAGCTATTTTCTTTAATAAGAATTTGTGTAGTGTAGCTGATACTTGCATATATGGTGGCATCAGGCTATACAGTGAAGAGAGTCTTAGTTCCACAAGTGGCACATCCCAATCCGGACAAGGGAAAGCCTCTTCTCCTGCAATGCTTGCTCCTCCACTTTTATCCCCCCCACCGGGCAACATTTTTGTAACAAAAGGTCCCTTGAAGAGTGAAGCTGTCAGTCAAAAAGCTGTAGAAAAGGTACTTTTTCTCCCTCTTTCTTGCCTTTTATCTATACATGTAAGTTAGTATTGTTTCCTTTGAATTTCATTATCATCTTCACCTTAATGCTACATTATTGGAGTCAGTGGTATGAAACTTGTAGCATCAGTGACTCATGAAATGAATTTAAACTAGGGACAAAAAATTTGTCGTGCCTGTGTTTCCATTTGCATCCTCATTGCGGAGGAGTAATGAGATAACTTGAAAACCATCACCAGAGGTTATCTTGATTCTTGACCTGCATGAATATTATCATGAGACAGCAATGTGGTGCAATAATTTCCATAGCCATGTTACTATGTTAGATTGAAGGTTGATTTTAAATGTTGAGAATAAAATTTGGACCTAACTCCAACAAAAAAAGAGTTCTAGAGGTGGGGATTGTCAACACTTATGATTATGAAGAGGTTCTTTTTTTTTTATGAAGAGGTTCATTTATTCATATTCAGCAAATGTGGTACACTCTTAAATCAATATAAAATCAACTTTTAAATCATGAAACTGGATTGAAATTGCTTTGTTTGATTTTATTGATTCAGATTGCTTGAATGCAACTCATGCATATGTTCTTTGTGTATAAATATATTCTTCTAGCTCCGCTCAATATACTCAGCTGGTATTACGGTACCAATCCCGTTCGTGAGAGCATCTGATATATCACCAATTGCACTTCTGTCTGGCAATATGCTTGGGGCCTGGCAAGAAGATGATACTTTGCATGAGCTTTTCTGTCGCGATGCTCAGTCAAAAAAGGGCCGAAGTAGACAAAACGAGGTCCTTTTTTATTTCTCTATTACTTTTTGGTTTTCTAATCTATCCCTCTCACCCCAACTGATGATTAATGGCCTTATAGGTTCCCTTGCCTCCAAGTGTACATCAACGACTATCTTCTAGTCCTACCTTAATGAACCTAACACAAGCTTTGGCTTATCACAGGATGTAAGATCTTTCAACTCATACGCTCCTCAGTCCCTCTATAAATAAATAAAACAAGAGTCAAAAGCCATGACATTACATTTACAAATTATTTGTTAGTTTAACTCGTTCTTATCTTATTTTGAAATAGTTACTTGTTGGATATGACTCTAGGTGCTATGATGACATGCCTCTTCAGGAAATGCAAGCTACACAAGAGCAAAAGACCATCCAAAGCCTTTGCGATACACTAAAAACCATTTTGCGGTTATAAATAGATGCTGTTTATTTATAGTTTTTTTTTATATAGAAAATGACATTATCTAACTCGAGTATTCATTTATTTGGATTACATTGAATATTATTGGGGACCAATATTATTGCAATCCGTAAACAATACTATCATATGTGCAGCCCAGAACATCTAAGAGCAACACAAACGGATTATTGCCTTAAACTTCTGTGACCTTTTCCCACAAGAGATATCTCCACATAGCTAATCAGGAATGCACCACCAACCCATATAGTCATGAAAAGAGCTCTTAGTGACAAGTGGAGGTGGTCCGAATGCACCATTTCCCACACTTACTATATTATATTCCTCATGCTAGAGGTCTTGAGTTCAAGTCACTAAGGAGGTGAGTTTGAGAAGATTTTCTCAAGTGAGAATCCGCTAACCCCAAAGTTAGCTTTGAGTGTGTGGGTTATCTTCTTGCTAGAAACTTGATTATTTTTTACCAATCGATGGCAATTCTCTCGGGAGCTATGCTGGAACCAGATGACACGTGAAGTCAATCAGTTAAGAGCAATTTTTATGTGTAATGGTGTATTAGTGTATAAATGGGCCTTGGGAACCTAGCGGATTTTTTGAGCGACACATGTTTACTTTTCAAGGGTTTAAGGTGAGTTCTTAGGAATCTGCAATTAGCTCGACGAAGTCGGGGTCACACGGTGTTCCCAAAAAAGAAAGTGAAAGAGCTCTCAAATTAAGCCATAGGCTCCACCAATGTTAGACTAAATATCTAAATCGGCTTCAAATAGATCAAGTAGATTAGATCAAGACTTGTGCAATTACTAAAATAAACATCTATCAAACCTCTACCAGATCTGGTTTGATCTGGTAGAGGTTTGATAGATGTTTATTTTAGTAATTCAACCGAAATTACTTGACAAGGGAGGGGGGGGGGGCAATTTTAGTAAACATCTATCAAATAATCTGGTAGAGGTTTGCACAATTACTAAATGAAGACTTCTTCTTTTTTTTTTTTTGGGGGGGGGGGGGGGGGGGGGGGGGGCAATAAACTCAAGATTGTTCCCATTCAAATAATCCACATGCGAATCCCTCTCAAATTCAATAGACAAAGCTTCTGAACAAGGGGGAGTGTCAATAAGCATCCCTTTACATGCATATCTCAAATAAGCTAACCATTCTTCTCATCAACATGCTAACCACTCCATATACTTGAATGAATGTAGAAACCACAAGACATTGTGCTTTTGTCAATTAGGTATTAATCCCTGCACATATCGAACTGAAATTACTTTTATCAACCATGGAAAAAGTATCTTGCTGCTGTCAAAAGAAGAAGAAGAAATTACAAAGTCCAAACTAGCTTCAGTATTGTTTTGCATGACAAAAGCTCGCCTGTATGCCAGCTGTTTTAGGTGATGTTCGCACTTCGCACACCATAAGCTAGGAAGCATGCACGTACGCTAGCTTCAATTCTAACCTCAAATTTATTAAACATATCCTTAGGTCTTTTTAAGTTCTTAAACTAATTTATAAACTAATCTTTACTCTCTAATTTATATTTGTTCATACTCATTTTATTGATCAATTTATATAACTCAAAGACTAAAACCAGTTAACCTAGGTTCTCCTAACATGGTTTAGGCTTCAAGTCATTTGGGTAGGGTATTTATGACCAGAAGCAAGATTTTCAGAGAATTTGGGTTCACCTAGTCACCTAGAAGAAGTTTTGAAAATCCAGATTTCCGAATCAGGGTGTTCAGAAGCTTGAATCCTCCTTGTAAATGCAATGTCACTTGATGATTTGGAGAACCTCATCCAAACATTATTTAATTATACATCCACCTACACTAATTGACCATGGGTTCACTCAATAAGTACTAAAACTATTAGGTTTAGAGGCTTTACCGAAGTTCACCTGAACTAAATGGATCCTGAATCTAAGAAATCTATATAAAAAAGAACAAGTTGTAAAACGAGTTATCATATTTGACATTGTATTTCATCTTTTCATCATCTGACATGGACCACCCTTTTCATCATGTTCCTTTTCTTGGATCCAAATATAGCAGTAAAAATGAAATGTGTTTCAAAAGATACCCGGATGCTAAAGGGTCTCCTGAAGCTCCGGGAGGGTTTCTTTACTTGATTTCATCTTCATATCTTCTTCGTACTTCTTCAACCGTTCATTCCACATCTCCTTCAATTTTAAATAAGATGTAAATGGAAAGGGATGATGATCATGATGTAAATTAAACCAAGATGGGAAGAATCTAAAAACCTTGTACTTGAGTTCAGCTCGATGCATTACATAGAATCCAAGAACGCCTCCAGCAATTGTGCCTGTAATTATCCTAAAGTAACCCCACCTCGGCGATCTCATTTCTCACTGTTTTTCCTTCTTCTTCCTCTCGGCGTTTCGTTTCAGTCGGACTCCATACTTCCCTCTTTGAAGCGACGAATTAAAATACTACGTATTTGAATTTCCAAATAAGACCCTTCATCAATTCCATGTTGGTTCATAATAAAATATCATTAAGAGTCAGTTTGGTCCTCAAAGTTGCAAAAAAGGGGTCAAATAAGTCCTTACATAGAAAATTCTGTTCGGACGTGCCATTTGAGGTGGCTCCCGGTGGAATTTTTTGATGAAGTTTTTTGAGCATCTTATTCATTAAGTATAGTTTACTCATACCAAATTTCAAATAAAAATTCAATCAGGAAGACATTCAAATGAATTCTTGAAGATAACTGTGTCGTTAAAAGCGCAGTTATCTTCAAGAATTCATTTGAATGTCTTCTCGATTGAATTTTTAATTAAAATTTGGTGTGAGTAAACCAGACTTAATGAATAAGATGCTCAAAAAAATTCATCAACAAATTTTATCGGGAGCCACCTCAAATGGCACGTCCGGACAAAATCTTCTGTATAAGGACTTATTTGACCCCTTTTTTGCAATTTCGAGGACCCAACTGACCCTTTACTCTTAAAATAATACTTGCAGGCAAAAATACGATTAATGTAATAGTGAGTGTAGTTTTATGATTACTAAATTAAAGTTTATTAAACATGAATAAATCGTTATTAAGTCACACTTTTGTTAAATATATCTTTTTTAGTTCATCATCATCATTACCTCAGTGCCGCAGAGGCTTCCACCTACGGTGGGGTAGGGGGTCGGATATACGTAGTCTTGCCCCTGTACGTACTGAAGCACAGAGATACTGTTTTCGGATGATCCACAGTGAAAATTGCGTCAAAATATCTCCTTTAGTTGTATATATTAAAAATTATTTTATATTCCTAAAGAGAAGGGTTGTTTACTTACGACTTAATTGACTTTATCATTCAATCATTTAGGGGGTGTTTGAATCTCATTCTCAAAACTGATTCTGTTCCTTCAGGGAGCAGAAGCAGAAATTGGAGTGCTTGGGTGAAATTCCAGAAGCTCTTCTGGAGCTCTAATTTACTCTCAGAATCAGTTTTTTTAGAAGTTGGGAGGGTACCAGTTTCTGAAAACTGATATTGATTCTGATTCTGCTTTTAAAAAAGAAGCAGAAGCAGAATCAGTTCCAAACACCCCTTAAGTCATGTTTACTTACGACATAATTGAAAAAAAAAATCTTAATTCATTCAGTCAGAAAGTTGACTTACTCATTAATCTATTAGAGTTTATCTCAAATTAATGTTTTGTGAATTGTGATTTATGTTTTGTACTACTATAGTTTATTTAAAATCTATAAATTATGTAATGTGAAAATTGTTAAACTGTGTGGATATTTAGAAGAAGACTCGACTTTAATTTCCCGGAAAAGTGACATTGTTTGGTATCAGTATGACACAGTACTGTCCCATTTGAAAACGAAATCATACTGAACGAGTTTAAATCTAAGACCGAACCGAACCCGACCATTTTAGTAGTTGACCATACTTGCCCACCTTTGACTAAGGATTTGTTTGCAAAAGTTTAAAAAATACAATTCTCGTTCTTTGGACTAAAAAAGCTAAAATTAGTGTTTTCAAATAACAACTCTGTTTAAAAAGTGTTTCTCGACTTTTGGCTCAAAAGTATTTTTTACCTTTTCTATCACATAAAAACACATATTTTATCAAACTCTACAAACTTTTATTTTTTAAAATCATTATTTTTCAAATACTATCAACTTTAAGTGCTCGTCACTAGAAAAGAGTGTTTTTTTAAGAAAAGTATTTGCAAAAGCTCCCCTCCTCCCAACACGCCGCCGCCGCTCTTCCTCCTCCCACCTGAACTCTCTCTAGTTTACCGATGACCACTCTAACGCCGTAACTCTCTCATTGAGTTCTTCAGCGAGCGAGCGGAGATCGAAGCTAACTCCTGCTAGAACGGAAAAGGGCCACCACCGCGCCAATCTTGTCCGAAAAACCCACTGGCCTTGCCGGAAGCTGCGCAGTAGACGGAGGATTTCTCCAGAGGTCATAGGGCTCCCTTTCTGGTGATTCCGCCGCTGCAAACGCCGACGATCGTATATAACAAGAGTATAAGAGAATTATGAGCTCGTTTATTGGTGGGACTCATCGCCCTGCCCCCATCAATATTAGTGGGCATTAAGATCGATTGTTACATAGACAGGCAAACATTTCCCAAGCCTTCGCTTCAACCGTGGATGATTTCCAATACAAAATGAGAAAGACTGGCTTTTTGTTTAAAACCCATGCTGGAAAGTTCTCTTTTTCTTCTTGCTCAGCGTTTTGTCACTCTCCACATTGTCTTCACCCCTCAGTACCAGCAGAACCAGGCTTCCAGAACCCATCTAATGTCCTTCAGAAATTCATAAAACCAGGCCAGAATTTTGCTGCTTCTTTAGCTCTGAGGCACTTGAGCACAGCCCATTCCGAATATAAAGGAGACCAATCAAGCAGAGAAAACTGCCCAATCAACTGTAAGTCCTCCTTTCTTTCTCGGTATTATATGAATTTAAAGTCTAAACTTGGGATTCCTTTCCCCCGTTTGCCCTCCAGGGCTCAAGGTGTATGGTTTTTTTCCTTTGGGGATTTATCTTGGTTTCTTGTTGATATTTTTACACTTAATTTGAAAATGTTCTCTTTTTTGTTGGCCTATAATTCTATAAACATATACTCCCTCCGTCCCCTTTTAAATGTCCCGGAACAGGGCGGCACGAGTTTTAAGAAAAGTGGGTTTGTGCGGTTGATATTAATTGATAAAGTAAGAATAAAATAAGAATGATTTTGAGTCACACAAACTTTACCAAATAAGTCAAATAAGGTATGAGACAATTAAATAGGGATATCCCAATATGATAAAACGGGACATTTAAAAGGGGACGGAGGGAGTACTTGTCTATATTTCTCTAAAACTGTGACAATCTTGTTCAGTGGTTCTGGCTGTTTAATCTATATCCATGTTTATAATTTCTATATCCATGTTTATAATTTTAGCATTTTTTGTTATGCATGCACAATTTGTTGCAAATTTAGATGATACAAGTGAAGAGGCGGAACCAATTGATTATTGGGAAGAAGAGGAAGAAGTTGAACCTGAGGTATACATATAACTCTGTTTCTTTGCTAACTATCTCTTCGACAGTTTTTTTGCTTTTCAAGTTTTATACGGAGTATTTTACTTGAAAATGTTAATGAGGACCTGCAAACCATCAGATTGGTGATGGAGGGGATGGTGGAGGTGTTGTTTTCCAGAACTGCCATTGGGGAGAGAAAGCATTGTCCATTGCCAATCAGGTAGTGAAGGAACATACTGTTGACATGGAGCTCTATGCTTTCAAAACTTCTCCTAGGGGATACATCTATGTGAGACTCGACAAACTTACTAATGAGTAAGTGCAAGATCACATTTTATGTTTGTTTGTTTGTTTGTTTTTTGTTTTTCTTATTGTGGTATTGCCCTATTGGGGGGGGGGGGGTCGAAGTAGGCTTGCTGTTTTAATGATATTTGCGTCATTGAGTCTTCTTCATCACATATTCATATATTGCTGCTAAATTTATGTGTGAAGTGCCTCTAGGATCATATTAAATCCTTTAGAGTAATGTTTTTAAATCTGATTACACCTTCTATTCATGATGGTAATATAAATGATTACAAAATCTAATGAAATTCCTGGCTGAGAATGGATGTAGATAATCTTTGTTCGTTTGTTAGTCTATATTTGGGACAGGTTCATGCTGAATGAAAAAAATGACATACCTTCTAAAACCAAAACTGACCGAATTATATGTGTTTTGTTTTTTCACTTAAGGTTTAGCTTTCGAAAACCGACCGTATCACCAAAACCAACCCAAAGTCACAAAAACCAAAGTAAGTTATTCTGTTTGGTTTTTGGCTTTTTATTGTTTCAAAATCAAACCAATACAGATCTAAGAACACCCCTAAATTCATATGATCATCTACATCATTTCAAAAGGGTGGGATGTATTTTGGCTGTCAGGTATGGTTGCCCAACCATGGATGAGATAGAAGATTTCAGCCACCAATATAAGAAAAGATTAGATGAAGCAGGAACAGTGGAAGATTTTCCAGAGGATTTGGCTCTTGAGGTAACCGTAGTTGTTTTTTTATAATGCTTATAACAAGTACACTACAAAAAATCTTGATCTTCAAAGCTCACTTTCTTTTTTGTTTTTTCATTCTGCTATAAGGTGTCATCTCCAGGGGCAGAACGGCTACTGAAAGTGCCAGATGACTTGAACCGTTTCAAACACATGCCGATGAGAGTGAGCTATGTGGAAGACGGATCTCACGGTCTAGAAACTAATAAGATATTTTTCTTGGACTGTATCAACACTGACTTAGGAAATTGTGTGTGGAAGCTGGTTGATGTGAAAGAAAACCGGGACCCGTCTGCTAAAGGAAGACCACTAAACCGTAAACAAAAAGATTGGAGACTCACACTGCCATATGCTACGATGAAACGGGTAACATTGTTCATCTCCTCCTAAATCAAGTGTAGTCTATCCAACCTCAAATCTTCAAAACATGTAATGGAAAACAGCATGTTTTTTACAAATCATGTAGTGGAGTACAAAAACACTTTTTTGTTGCTTTTGGCCGGAAGATGGACAATTTTGGATAGAGGTAAATTTTTGTGAGCATGGAGTTAAACTTTGAACAACTGGTACCCTTTCTTGTGCTGTAAGACTCTCCACATTAACAGTTACTGATGTTATCTCTTTCCCTTTAAACTACTGCACTTGTTATTCTGTTGTGATAATTGATATTATAATGTTTATGGTTTGGAACACAAAAAACTTTGATCCGTGAACAATAATGAACTCTGGTCTGCATTCTTAAGAAGGCCCAGCCAAGGACCCAAATTTTTGGAAAAGAGAGAAAATTTATCCTCTGTTATTTATTTGCAATTTTTTGTGTAATCATGCCGTTTCGATATGTATTCTTATGAAGTCTCTGCAAGGGCAGTTGGGAGCCAAACCTAAAGAAAGCTACCTTTTTAGATAATATACACGTTATAGATTATAAAGCTTATTAACTAAACTAATAATAAGAACAAGAACGTTGTGGCATATATTCTGACTTAAGTTCATTTCAATTTCCATATTACTATTTGATTTGAACATAGAACGTTGCAGTTTCAGCTAGAGACGTGTTCTAGGTTGTGTTGTTTACACATTAAACCAATGCCGTTTTTTCTTTTCGAATTTAATATTCAGCGGTTTTATATAATGAACACATTTAAACCAAAAAAAACTGCATCTGGAAAATGGCATTGCGAGCTGCATCTAAACAATAAACGATTGGAACAGCATTGTGCTGTCATTTTGTTATCAACTGTTTGATAAAATAAATATTGACATATAGAGAGAGAGCACATTTTGACACACTATAACGCTTGTCCGATGTGTTCATTTCTTTCAAAAGCTCTAATAATCGAGAGCACTTATTGTTGAAACTTACAATCTGCATCACTGATATGGAAGCATTCTGAAGTTGTTCATAGGAAAATGTTGTGAGAATTGAGGTTGCGGGTCTTCCAAACGTGGCCCTAGATGCTGTACTTTCAGGATTTGTATCTGAGCTTGCACTCTGGCCAATTGACATTCAAGATTGAAAATTTGGTCACATAAAATAGTAATTAATCCGGCACAACCATAAACTGGATCCTTAATCCGACAATGTGCTTCATAGTACAAGGATTCTGCTACGTCTGCTCGCTCATGCTCTTCCACTTGCTGTTTTTATTCACAAAACCAGTAATTAATACAGAGTACTCCCCCGGTCCCTTTTTAAATGTCCCGGAAGATGGCGATATGAGTTTTAAGAAAAGTCAGTTTGTGTGGTTGATATTAATTGATAAAGTAAGAATAAAGTAAGAATGATTTTGAGTCATACAAACTTTACCAAATAAGGTATGAGACAATTAAATAGGCACATTCTAATATGGTAAAATGGGACATTTAAAAGGGGAGGAGGGAGTATACTGTATATAGTTTCGATAAGTACTTTATATGAGAAAATACGAATTAGTCATACACTCATACGTGACACGACCCATTACTTTGATTAAACGAAAGGATAGGATTTAAGTTTGATAAAACGAAAAGATATGATGATATGATTTAATTTAAGGCCAAATCAATTGTAAATGCAAAAAACTTTATGAAGACGCAATAACAAATGTGTATCAATTTATAGAAAGCAAGAAATACACACACACAAAAAAGTTGCGTGTATATATATAATATGTGCATATGGATAATTGACATATTAATTAAGATTAAGAAATGAGATATTGAGATCAATAATCAATCAAATGATTTTATTAATAAATGTAAATATACCTGGAGCATCATTTCAACGTTGCTAGTACCAAAGATTTTGTGGACAAAAGCAAATCTTTGAGGATCATTAGAGGGGAAATATGGCAAAAGTATGCAATTTGATGGGCATCTCCTTCTTAGTTGTTTGCAAGCTGCACATCTTCCACCGCCACTTATCAAGCTTTTTGTTGATGATCTCTTCATTATATATATATATAGTTATCCTCTTCAAGATCTAGCAACTACCAAAAAAATCCTATGAAACACTCGAAAAGATACTGCCTAGGATGCGATTCTGGAATATTTTGGATGTTAGGATTGAAGAAATCTTGGGAAATTCTTTAGTATCTTTGTTGAATATGCTGTAAGATTTGGGAGATGATTTATATGTGTCGATCGATATGATGAAGTAGCACACAATATATATACAACGGCTACTTTAATATTTAATAATCATTTTCATTTCAAGCTAAGTCTTAATTAATTAATGGTATTATTATAAGGCAAGTTACCGGTAGGGTATAAGTGTATAACGTTATTATGAGTTTAGTTCACTGTTTCTTTTATTTAATGTTTTAAACACTCACTTTTTCGAAATCTTCTTAGAATACACACATAATAGCTTCCCGAGAAAAAACGTGAAAATATAGACCATGCAGAGTTCTTATTTCTTAACTAGCTAGGCACTTATATAAAAACGAAAATTGTCCTATACTAATGAGTTCCTAAAAAGCACAAATAAGACTATTACTTTTTAAATTCCCTAAATAGGACTAAACATTGATTTTCTACCCTAAATACCCCTAAGAGTATTAATTCATAATAAAATGCTTTAATTCATAATAAAATCATAAAAAAAACGTAAAACAATATTTAAAAAATTAAAAACCCATAGTAAAAACCCATTTAAAAATTATAAAAAATTTAATTTTATTTTTTTTAATTTTTTTTTAAAAATAATAAAAAATAGTAAAAACCCATAAAAATGAAAAAAATTATGGATGCCTTTCCCACCGCCTCCCGCCGCCTCCCAGCACCACCACCTCCGACTGGTGAAATTTCTTCCATTTTTGATAAAAAAATGCCATCTTTTTCTGAAAATGCCAAAAAATGGCATAATTACTCTTCAATATGCCAACATTTTCATTGAATATGCCATCATTATGGCATTATTTAAAATGTTGGCATATTTTTCTCCGGTGATGGGAGCTGGTGGTGATGGGGGTGGCAGGGGTGGTAATGTTTTTTTGTTAATTTTACGATTTTTATTTTATTTTTTTAATTTTTTTTTACAAAAATATTTTTTTTTTGAATTTTTCTAGAATATATTTTTATTAATTTTCTATTATTTTTTTACGACTTTTAGTATTTGTTTCCATTTTTATTATTTTTTTATGATTTTATTATTAATTAAAACATTTCACAAGTTACAAGGGTATATTTGTCCAAACACACATAAATAGTCCTATTAAGGGAATTTAAAAAATGTAGTCCTATTTGTGCAATTTTGCCACTTTTTAGTCCTATTTAGGGAATTGACTCATATAAAAAGCTAAATAAATTTTTAGGCTAGCTCTGTTTGCAAGCCCTTAATTTAAGTGTTTGTGGCCTTTTTTTTAAAGAAAAAACACTTATTTTACCAAACACTACCAACTTTTAATTTCTCAGCTTTCGTGTAGAATCTACTTTTTACTTTTTCTATTACACAAAAAACACTTATTTTACCAAACACTGTCAATTTTTACTAGGGAAAAGGTGCAAATAGGCCCCTGTACTAATAAAAAAAGGTCAAATAAGCCCTTATTTACGAGGCTCTGTCCGGCCGTCGTCATTTGGGGTGGTTCCCGGTGGAATTTTTTGATGAATTTTTTTGAGCATCTTATTCATCAAGTCTAGTTTGCTCATATCAAATTTCAGCCAAAACTTCAACCGGGAAGGCATTCAAATGAATTCTTGAAGATAACTGTGTTTCTAAGTGTGCAGTTATTTTCAAGAATTCATTTGAATGCCTTCCCGATTGAAGTTTTAGCTGAAATTTTGTATGATTAAACTAGACTTAATGAATAAGATGCTCAAAAAATTTCATCAAAAAATTCCACCGGGAACCACCCCAAATGGCGACGGCCGGACAGAGCCTCCTAAATAAGGGCCTATTTGACCTTTTTTTTGTTAGTACAGGGGCCTATTTGCACCTTTTCCCATTTTTACTACTAATCACTTTTCCCAAAAAGTATTTTTATTTTAACACAAGCACTTGCAAACAAAGCCTTAAACACAGTTGACAGATCACAAGGCATTGTTTAGTTTTCATACTTTTCTCTTCAATTTATGGGGGTGTATTGTATTAGGAATTAGTGGCAAAATTTTAAAAGTCCATGGATTTTAAAAGTTTAGTTGTATTCAATGTGGATTTTAAAAGTCCACAAAAGTCTAGGTGTATTCAATGCAGACTTTTAAAAGTCTATAAAAGTCTAGGCGTATTCAAATTTGCGTTCATTCTTATTGACTTCTAAAATCATGGATTCTCGTAGACTTTTAACTCATTTTTAGTGCAAAAATTCTCTGCAATTGTCTCTTCTCTTCACCAAAGATTTCCGTGGACTTTTCTTATATCGGTTCTTCATCCCGTCCCACCCCATCCCTCCCCTCCCTCCTAGAAATGGACCGGGCCTGGCCCGGTTTCAGTTCCGAGTCGGACCCGACCGGGCTTGGAATTTTTTGGGTAAGGCCCAGGACCGGCCCGGGAGTCTACCGGTATAGGTTCGGGCCGGGCCAGTTCATTTTTTGGAGGGGTTTCTTATATATTCCAACCCCCACGGCCCCACCCCCAAACCCCTCCAAAACATCCAGCCCGGCCTACCTACCATAGGCCCAAACCCATAAAAAACAAAAATATAAGGCCCGGACCGGCAAGGCCGGTCCTCAAATATGCAGTACCGGAACCACCCCAATTAACCCCCCGGGTCGGGCCTAGTCCCGGTACCGGTACCGATCCACCGGGTTGGGCCCGCACAGTGGCGGGCCGGTCAAACCGGCCCCGAGCCAAGCCTACTCTCCCCTCCCCCAACTCTACTCTTCTTTAGCCAAGCCACCCCTTCCCCTTCGATCTTTCTTCTTTTTCTTCTTCAGCCCAGCTCGCCCCACCCCTCTCCATCCGTTCTTCTTCTTCAGCTTGCCGGCCCCACCCCACCCCCCTCGATTCATTAATCTCATATCGATTCGATTCTAGAAGTTTTCAGAAGAACGGATATAAGAATCATATCGAAAGTATTACATCAATGCAATTCTGATACGTCGTTAGTTAACCATTAAGAAAATAAATATTTTAACTATCACTTTCTCTCATCGTTAAATCGCTTAACACATAAAAATATAATTTGAAATTAATAAATATGTAACCATAAATACATATACAAGTTTTTAGAAGATAGAAATTAAAAGAAAACAATCATTAAGTAGAAAAGCTCGATTGCATCTATGCTTGTAGCACATGTAGCAATGAGTGTAACGCTTGTGTAACGATTAATATTCTTAATCGTTAATAAAATGGCCAAAATTCTCGAGCATTCTTGAAACTTTGAGTTTTTTTTAATAAAAATAAATTTGAATTTCTATGCTATATTTATTTCTGTACAACTTTGTGTTGCTATATGAATTACATTTTTCATTTATTTATCTGTTTATTTATTTATTTATTTATTTATTTTATTTTTTATTTATATATTTATTTATTTACTTATTTATTTCTTATCGTACTCCGTATTATATAGAGGAAATCATTCACGGTAGGACTAAAACATAGCATTATTCTTAAAGTATGATTATATGTTTGATTTTTCTTAAATAGGAATAAATATTACATATCCACCCCTAATTTAATTAATTAATTAATTAATTAATTTATTAATTAATTAATATAGTTAATTGTCCCTAGTTCTCTTTCATAATCAAAGCCATTATGTTGATGACGGGTCAGTCCGATGACGACAATGGGGAACTCCGGTGATTGAGGCGGATAAGTCACAGGCATATCGGTAGCGACAATCTAGGTGAAAATTTTGACGACCAGCGTGTAGTGGCGGTCCGCATTTAAAAGTCTATGGACTTTTCGAAAGTCAATAAACTTATCCATGGATTTAAAAGTCCATAGAATTCATTCATAAAAAAGTCTATGGATTTAAAAGTCCATTGACTTTTTTAAAAGTCCGTGGATTAAAAAAAGTCCACAACAATCCGTATTGAATATACCCCTCTTAACTTACGGAGTAGTTCCTCTTTAGCACAAATTTAGCTTCCAGATACAAAGTTTCTTTCTAAATATTTTAGCATTTTAAATAAAATGTTTAAATTAGATTTTAAACTACAAGTTGATAATGTTAGCGATTTAACTTTCTTGAGTTAAGTTGTATCTAAAAGAACCAAACCAGGCAAACCTTTTCTGATTTTCCAAAAATATAAGATTTTAATTGCATAAGTTTTATATGTGGACGGGCACAATACCATTGACGTAGCTAAAGGAGGGCAATCCGCGTGGCCCCTGTCAACTTCGAATTTAATTTTTTTTTTTTTGAAGAACTTCGAATTTAATTTGTTAAACCTTTATTCATTGTGAAATGTACGAAGTATATGAAAATGTTTCTTCACTACAAGTATGGTTATATATAGCGTTTCAAAACGCTATTATATAGAACGTGATTGACATTTAGCTGTTAGCGGATTTATGTTAGCGAGTTATCAATAGCAAATTCAATCAGCGAGTTTGACTAGCAGAATAAGTTGGCGGGTTACTAGAAAATGCTTGATAATTTAGCCACTTGTCATAACAATTAGAAGAAAATGTTGGAAAAATGGTTTTTGACTTTAATATAATGATCACTTTTGACTTAAAATAAATAAGAGATCCACAACTAATTTGTGGTAAGACCAAGTCCTAACGTATAGCACTCTGAAAGGTGAACGCAATCATATATTAAAGTGTGCAAAACCATATATAAATGAATAAAAAAATTGTTCCTGAAGTTTGCTAAAAACTAGTCTCGAAAGAGAATTTGTCCCACACCGAAAATGGAGAGTTAAGGAATGTGTCTTTTTATAAGCTTTCCTTTGCTATTGGGTTGACCCCTTAGGGCACCAAAGTTTTGTTGAGCAATGAGACCCATATACGGTAAGTGTGGAATTAAATCTTCACACGCGCACGTGGCACGCCACACCCGTCCGTCCAGGTTGGATCGGGTTTACTTATCATATAGTTCAAAAATTTGTGGTGATAAACAATCATGAAATAATCATGAATAGTTATGTATTTTACGTATCATATTTCAAAAATTTGTGGTAATAAACAATATACTAGAAACAAAGAGGAAGCGGTCCACGTCCCTGGGGT